TGTGCGCGTACATATATATATATATATGGGTGTGTGTGTGTGTATGTCATTTAGTGTTTATTGAATTTCCGGGTGTTTTTCCATATAGGTCAACAATCAGAAAATGTTACTAATGAGGGAAATTATATTCGATTTATCAAGTTGATTGATTTTTCAGATTATTTAAATCAATAATTACTACTACATAATCATGGATACTGTATAAAAAAAATGTAGAATTCTCGTATACGTTTCATAGACTTCATATGCCCTATATGACATTCTTTACTTGTAACTGGATTCCACTGTTAGTCATCATCCATCTTCGTTGAAATCTGTAGAAGTTTTAATTCATTAACATACACAAAAACGTAACTAAAGATTTGATTTGGTGGAGAAGATTTGTAGCTCAAGTGAATGATTTTGATGAAATTTTGTTCTTTGAGCTGGATGGTTTGCTTTGTGGAGTTTTCATTATTCTTCTGAACGACAACATCATCAGTAGCAGCATAAAACTTCAGTTAAAAGGTTTGAACAAACTTACTTACTTACTTGCTTACTTACGCCTGTTACTCCCAATGGAGCATAGGCCGCTGACCAGCATTCTCCAACCCACTCTGTCCTGGGCCTTCTTTTCTAGTTCCATCCAATTCTTGTTCATTTTTCTCATGTCTATCTCCATTTCTCGGCGTAATGTGTTCTTTGGTCTCCCTCTTTTCCTTTCGCCTTGAGGATTCCATGTGAGGGCTTGTCTTGTAACGCAGTTGGGTGCTTTCCTCAATGTGTGTCCTATCCACTTCCAGCGCTTCTTCCTGATTTCTTCCTCCACTGGGATCTGGTTTGTTCTCTCCCACAGTAGGTTGTTGCTAATAGTGTCCGGCCAATGGATCTGAAGTATTTTGCGTAGATAATTGTTAATAAACATCCGTATTTTCTGGATGATGGCTTTCGTAGTTCTCCAGGTTTCTGCCCCATACAGTAGAACTGTCTTGACATTTGTATTGAAAATCCTGACCTTGGTGTTGGTTGACAGTTGCTTTGAGTGTTTGAACAATGAATGTGACTATTTCAAAAAGTAATTGATTGAAAACTTCAACTATTAAAGGGATTAAATACTGTACAAGTTTATAAAGATGTTAGGTAAACTCTAACTATTTCATTATACTTACCAATTTAAATGTATCTGTGTATGTGAATAGAAATGTAGGACAATATAAACACGATATAAACTTGAAAATGACTGAAAATGACAAAAAGCAAATAAGATTCCAGATTTTGCCCTAACGAATGATCACAGAATTGTAATCAGCTTAACCCTGAATGTTAATCAGGGAGGTGCCCCCAAATGCCCTGGCACGACCGAGGGTAGGGGGAGTTCACTCTACCTCTCAAAATGCTATTACATGACCACGTGCATAAAACCACTTACAGGGAAATCATAATCACTGCCTTCTTGCCGTATTACTGTTGGTTACGAAATTGAGAGGAAAAAAGCGAATGTCAGGTGCTTTAATCGGTATGGTGGATACGGAGGACCTATCTAGGGGAGTTGGTAAACCCCGATCCCAAATCAATGGTACACATGGGCTCCAGGATCTTGAAGGAACAAATGGCATATGAACTTATGATCAAAATAGTTTAAAACCATTAGGTTTTAATCTGATGTTCAACGTTCATGATCAATTTTTAGGACGTGTTCTGTATTCAGATGCCCTGGATATAGGCTACAAAAAGAAAACATGAAACTTGAGAAACAATATGAATAATTCAAGGATTAATTCTTTTCGTAACTCATTTAATCTGTTAACTGATGTTTATTTATTTACTTAAACACATAAACAGTGATACAAGATGACAGCAAATAAATATGCGTGATATAAATCATTCGATCTGTGTGAGGGCTGGGATGCTGAAAGAGTGCTCAAACCTAAACATGTGGTTTTATTAAGGGCCCACACTCTGAGCATTCGACCTAGAGGTTTAATCCACAAGGTAGTAGAGTAATGTAAGGAGATACAGTCTCATGGTAGCTGATGACCAACTATTGGTTCATACACCACTTGTTCCTTCAGGATCCTGTAGCCTATGTGCACCATTAGTTTGGAATGAGGGTTTTTCAACTCCCCTAGGTGAACTCTCTGTTTCCACTAATCTGGTCAATGTACTGAACATTCACTTTTTGTCTTCTCAATTTTGTAAACAACATGGTCGCCACAAGAAGACAGTGGTTGTATGTACATAATCAAGTACTTGTTGGAACCATCCATTTAACTTTATGATTTTCTAATTAACAAGTTGAGAATATGTGTATCTGGGATAAACACTAATAAGAGATTTCATGGATAAGAAAATAGGAAAACAAATGATTTTAGTTATGCTATTTCAATTTTCAATGATTGAATTCAATCAAATTAAATGACTTAAATGTAATTAGTTTATTGATTGAAAATCAATTTGATCTATTTACAATACAACTCTATTTTGATATAATCACTGTGATGATTCTTAATTTTAGGGCCTATTCCATTATTGATTGAATCAATTGACAATAATAGAGACTATTATTAGTGAAACTTAAAAAAAACCCTATTTTCACCTCTCTCTCTCTCTCTCTCACTCTTTCAAATGATTACTAATGACTTATGTATAGGAACAAAAGGATGGAAAGTATGTATAAGGAGAGAAATAGAATACAATTTAGTTTAATACTTAACCAAATAGTATTGTTTAGTAGTACTTATCGCTTTATCTCTAAGCATCGATTGGGCGTTACCTTGTAAAAGTTGTCAAAAAAAATTGTCTCATTAAA